TGAGGGCCAAGGAAGTTGCTGCCAGTGCTGCTGCAGGGGAGTGAATCATCCTGGGCATCCACATGTGAGACCCACCCATCTGTCCACTTTTACTCTAACCACATTAGCCTCCCCTCTCCACCCAAACACTAGGACAGTGGAAAGTAGAATGCCAGGAAGGAGAGGTTTGGGAGTAGTCTTCCCCAGGACTGGGGTTGACTTCTGTACCAGCATACAGAGAAGGATCTTAGATCCTCACCTAAGTCTCCCTTGGATGCGGAGCTCTAGGAAAGGCACAGGAAAGTGGTTCTTGGGTTGGAAGGTCCTTCCTGTTGCTGCTTTACTTCCTTCATTTTGAAGACCAGGTCTCGGTCTTCCCAAGGAAGCGCCCCAATGCCCAGCCAGTAAGCCTGGATTTGGTGTCTTTTCCTCAAGTGTTATTGCTCTTGGGCACTTTCCATATAGCATATGTGTTTCCCCATGTGGTCTGTTCCACTGTGCCTTGGCACAGGGCCTGGTACCTAGCAGATACTCATATGTGTATTGGGCTAAATTGAAAGCAGGGAGCAGGAGAGGCAACAGTGGCTGGTTTGTAGTAGTCTCACATGGAGAGGTTTTAACGTGAAAGTGTAGTCTACAATTTCATGGAGGCAGTATGTGTGTGTAAGAAACATTGATTTTGTGACAAGATGCAGTTTGCACATGTCATTTCTGCTTCCCCCTTTGCTTTCTTATTTCTGATCTTTGATTAGAATATATAGTTGAGATTTGAATTCTCACACAAATGTCAGCATGTCTGACCAAGGCCCCCGAGCTTTGCATGCTCCCAGACCGTTCAATGTGGTTGGGAGTATGGAATTCCACGGCGTTAGGCAGACAAGGGTTTGAAGAATACTATCTTCCACAAGATAACCATTGACATCCCTATTTTGCAGATGTGGAAACTGTGGCTCAGAGAAGTTGCGTCTGTAAACATAGAGCTACAGGATTTAAAGGCAGCACTGCCTGAATGCAAAGCTCATACTTTTAACTGTCTGCTCCTGTTTTTCTGCTTATTTCTTATATTCCCATGGGCAAGTATTTTTAACTTTTCAGGGCTTCAGTGTCTTATATTTAGAATTAGGGGAGCAAAGTCTAAGCGTAGTGGCTTACGCCTATAATCCCAGCACTTTGGGAGGCCAAGGCGGGTGGATCACGAAGTCAGGAGATCAAGACCATCCTGGCTAACATGGTGAAACCCATCTCTACTAAAAATATTAAAAAATTAGCCAGGCGTATTGGCCGGTGCCTGTAGTCCCAGCTACTCAGAAGGCTGAGGCAGGAGAATGGCGTGAACCCGGGAGGCAGAGCTTACAGTGAACTGAGATTGCGCCACACAGCACTCCAGCCTGGGTGACACAGCGAGACTCCATCTCAAAAAAAAAAAAAAAAAAAAAGAGGGGAGCAAAAATTCTCATGTTTAGAATTAGGGGAGCAAAACTCTTGTAGAGTTATTATAAGGGAGAAAGGAGGCAATGTAAAAAACTAAATCCATACCTCATACCTGGAGTAGTAGTAGTCACAGTAAAAGCAGCAGCTGTTTTTTGTTTGTTGATTTGTTTTTTAAATGTAGTGTTTACTATGTGGCAGACACTGTTTTAGTTCTTTCTTTCGTTTTTTTTTTTTTTTTTTTTTTTGAGATAGGGTCTTGCTCTATTGCCCAGACTGCATACAGTACAGTGAGTGGTGTGATCATGGCTCGCTGCAGCCTCCACCTCCCAAGCTTAAGCAATCCTCCCGTCTTAGCCTCTTGAGTAGCTGGGACTATAAGCGCATGCCACCATGCTCATTTTAATTTAATTTAATTTCTTTTTTTTTTTTTTTTTTTTGTAGAGATGGGGTTTTGCTATGTTGCCCAGGCTGGTCTCAAACTCCTGGGCTTAAGCTGTTCCCCGACCATGGCCTCCCAAAGTGCTGGGATTACAGGCGTGAGCCACATTTGGCCTGTTTTAGTTCTTAATTTAGGCTATCTCATAAAATCATCACCACAACCCTTAGAGGTTACTACAATTGTTCTCCTCCAGTCCCTTTATAAACATGAACAGAAAGGTATAATAAGGGGCATAGCTGGAGTTCACACTCCATCGGTCTGGTTCCAGTGTCCTTACTGCACCCCTATGCCATGTTAACTCTTAGCAAACATTAGTTTTGAACTTCATGCTGTTCTAGAATCTGGCATCAATCTGAAAGGGACCATAAGGAAGCTGGAGTAGTAATATGACAAGGAGGAGGCCATACCAAGCTATGGAAGGTGAGCAGTAACAGGGATACTCATGATTCCCTGATTCAGCCAGTGAGTGGTGAGACAGCCCATATGTTATTTCTTAGTAGTGACTGAGTGCATAGGATGATGATGACCCATGGTACATCATTCTTTTGGCCTAAGGACATCAGCCTACAGGTTCATTCATCAAGACTTAATGACAGCCCGACGTCTCTTTACCAAAGGCTCTCCAGTTGAATGTTTCTTACCCCAAAGACTCTTGACTGCATACTCATAGAAAAAAAAATTGAATAAATAAATAAATGGGAGGCTGGGCACAGTGGCTCACGCCTGTAATCCCAGCACTTTGGGAGGCCGAGGTGGACGGATCACTTCAGGCTGGGAGTTCGAGACCAGCCTGACCAACATGGAGACACCCCATCTCTACTAAAAATACAAAATTAGCTGGGCGTGGTGGTGCATGCCTGTAATCCCAGCTACTTGGGAGGCTGAGACAGAAGAATCGCTTGAACCTGGGAGGTGGAGGTTGAGGTGAGCCGAGATCGCATCATTGTACTCCAGCCTGGGCAACAAGAGCGAAACTCCGTCTCCAATCAATCAATCAATCAATAGGACAATTCTTCCTTACAGAAAAATCCCAAATAATAAATGTAGAAGGAAAGAGGAAAATAGAAAACCACCATTAACATACTACAATAATAATTAGTTCTAGGTAAGACCCATTGATGAACGTTAAAATTAGTGGGTAAGGCTTGATGCAGTGGCTCATGGCTGTACTCCAAGCACATTGGAAATGTGAGGCAGGAGGATCACTTGAGTCCAGGAGTTTGAAACGAGCCTGGCCAACATATCGAGACCTTGTCTCTACAAAAAAGAAAAAAAAAATTAGCTGGGTGTGATGGCGTGCACCTGTAGTCCCAGCTACCTGAGAGGCCGAGACTGGGAGATCTCTTGAGCCGAGGAGTTTGAGGCTACAGTGAGCTGTGATTGGGCCACTGATGCCCAGCCTGGGCATCAGAGCAAGACCCTATCTCTAAAAAATAGTGTTACGGTCATGAGAGACCAGAATAGACTGAGAAGCTGCCATAGTTTAGGGGAGACTAAGGTGATATGACAGCTAAATGCAACATGGTACCCTGGATGGGATCCTGTAACAGAAAAAGGATATTAATGGAAAACTGGTGAAATCCAAATAAAGTCTATAGTTAAAAGCAAACAATAAGCCACCAGCCCCCTGACTGCACCCCTCAAAAAAAAAAAAAAAACTAACAGAAAAACCCCACAAAGCTCCTGGTTCCTTCCTGCCTAAGATCCAAATGGCATTGTCTAGAGCACCTCAGTTCTGGCATTTATATTCTAGTTCTGAATTCCTGTTACCTTTGGGAAAGACCTTTTGGTTGTGTAGTGCTTATGTCTGGGAAGCTCTGACGAATTTGGGGACAGGCTTGTGGTCTATGTAACTCTCAAAGCCTGTCTACCCATTGAACAGAATGCTACTCAGCAGGCTGAGGACAGGGGTGTGCACATGGATCCGCCTACTCCAACCCCAGTCCTTGCTGGTACTGGATGTTACAAATGACATTCCCGCTATCAGGAATCTTCCCTGGACCCCCAACCTTTTTTGTGTGTGTTTTTTAATAGACGGAGTCTCACTCTGTCGCCCAGGCTGGAGTGCAGTGGTGTGATCTTGGCTCACTGCAACCTCCACCTCCTGGGTTCAAGTGATTCTCCTGCCTCAGCCTCCCGAGTAGCTGGGATTACAGGCACCTGCCACCATGCCTGGTTAATTTTTGTATTTTTAGTAGAGACTGGGTTTTGCCATGTTTGCCAGGCTGGTCTCGAACTCCTGACCTCAGGTGATCCTCCCGCCTCAGCCTCTCAAAGTGTTGGGATTACAGGCATGAGCCACCACGCCCGGCCCCCAACTATCTTTTAAGGTATTACCTTTAGACATTCTGCTTATCTTTCAAGGCCTGACTCACATTTTACCTCCCATATAGTTCCTGCATGATCATCACATGTATTAGTGTCTTTCAAATTCCTGTGATGTCGTCAACCTTAAAGTTCTTTATATCTGTTGATCTGCCCTTCCTGTGATATTTAGCACACCTTGCCATGTTGAGTCTGTCTGTGTACATGCCCTGTCTCCCTAAGCAGAACACAAACTTCTTGAAGGGAAGGAGTCTTACAAAACCTTCTAAACTTCTTGAAGGGAAGGAGTCTTAGAAATATCCCTTGAAGCATCTAGGATAGTGCTTGCCATAAGCCCTCATGAAATGACTGGCAAGTTTGAATGAGTGAATGCTTTACGACACTGAAAGGAGTAATATTGTCCCTGTTGGCAGATGAGAGGTGAATGGGCTTGCTTAAAGTCATACAACTGATTATGAGCTATATTTGGAGCCTGGCTGCTCAGATTGTCCCTTTCTGAGCATTCTGAGGCCATGAAACTTCCTCACTCTGATCATAGCACTAAACTATAGTAAGAGTGATGGCTATCATTTGTTGTGGGCTTACTCTGGGCCAGGCTTGGTTCTAGGCATGCACACTATTCAGTCCTCACAATAGCTCTGAGGTATGGGCCTCACTATCCTCATTTTGTAGATACATCCACTGATGTTCAGAGAGATATAAATAATTTGCCTTAGATTCCCAGCTAATAAGTTGCTGAGTTGAGATTTGAACCCAGGTGTGTCTGGCATCAAAACTCATTCCCCCTCACCCCTGTAAAGCAATGTCTTTCCCTTTGTTTTTTCAGACCCATCCCTGGAAGGCATGTGTGGCACTGAGCATGCCCAGTTGGGAGAAGATGGGCAGCAGCCACCGCGGTGCACTTCAACTACCTCATCTCAGTCTGAGCCTTCAGAGCAGCTTAGGCACCACCAAGGCAAGAACCTAGTCTCAGAGGACCCCAAAAAGAAGAGAGCTCAGAAGCCCTCCCACATGAGAAGAAACATACGGTGAGCTGTGCTCTGTGTAAGAGGAGAGGGAAGGGAATAGAGGTTTTACCTTCATCTTAAGGCTGTCAATAGCAGAAAGACTGATTTGGGAAGGAGAATTCTCTCTCCAAAGGAGAAAAGTGTCAGGTGTGTGTCTCCATTAATAGTGAAGGTGCAGCTCAGGATCACTGGACTTGGGCTTTCAGAGGACTGTAGGGAGAATGAGAAAGGCCTTGACCACTGTGGGAGGGTGTTCTGCTCTCTGGAGACCCCAGGTGGCAGCCCAAAGATGATAAGGTGCTCTCAGCTGGACTTTCCGGTTTTTCCTCTATTTTTCTTATGTCTCAAAACAAGACTTTACAAGTTGAGTTCTCTCATCTTCTTAGATGTCAACTTCTAATGGTAGAGGACTGTCTGACCCAAAGCAAGGCTCCTTCTAAGAGCAAAAATGTGAACTTCTTTAACTGTCCAAATCCCCAACAGTTCTTCCTTCTATCAAATAACAGTATGTGCCATTGAAAGGAAATGAGTGATATCTTTTTCTCCTTCTGCCTCCACTTAAAAAAGAATAACAATAATGACAACTTGAAATATTACTCTGAGTTTGAAAATAATATAAAATCCCTGTAACCTTAGTTTCTTTTCTTTTTTTTTAATTTCTTTTCTTTCATTTTTTTGAGATAAAGTCTCTCTCTGTTGCCCATGCTGGAGTGCAGTGGCGCAGTCTCGGCTCACTGTAACCCCCACCTCCCGTGTTCTAGCAATTCTTATGCTTCAGCCTCCTGGGTAGCTGAAACCACAGGTGTCCGCCACCACCCCTGGCTAATTTTTGTATTTGTAGTAGAGACAGGATTTTGCCATGTTGGTTCAACTGGTCTGGAACACCTGGCTTCAAGTGAACTGCCCACCTTCGCCTCCCAAAGTGCTGGGATTTCAGGCATGAGCCACTGTGCCTGGCCAATCCTAGTTTCTTTTCTACATGACAATACTATTATTATTATTTTTTTTCTTGAGATGAAGTCTCACTCTGTCACCCAGGCTGGAGTGCAGTGGTGTAATCTTGGCTCATTGCAACCTCTGCCTCCCAGGTTCAAGCGATTCTCCTGCCTCAGCCTCCTGAGTAGCTGGGACTACAGGTGTGCACCACCACACCTGGCTAATTTTTGTATTTTTAGTAGAGACGGGGTTTTGCCATGTTGACCAGGCCGGGCTCGAACTCCTGACCTCAGGTGATCCACTTGCCTCAGTCTCTAAAGTGCTGGGATTATAGGCGTGAACCACTGCGCCTGGCCAACAACACTATTTTTAATACTGCTTTTCAGCTTTGTGAATCAAATATTACTCTAGTTTATTCTTGATCTGTTATGTGGAGAGATGAGTTGGCAGGGGCATCTGTCAGGGAGTTAAATAATATGGAAAGTATGTTTTTCTAGAGCCATCTGAGCTTGATGTCCTATTTTTTTAATGCTGTTCCTTGCATGGGTGTGGTGAGGCTGATGTGGCTTCTCTTTCTCCTGCCTCAACTCTCTGAGATCAGCAATGGCTATTTCTCTCTTTAGCTTGCCATTACATTGCCCAAATCTTAATTGAACCCAAGTGCTGTCTCTTATGTGAATGTTTAGAAAGCTACTCCGGGAGGATCAATTGGAGCCTGTTACCAAAGCAGCACAGCAAGAAGAGTTGGAAAGAAGGAAGCGCCTGGAGCAGCAGAGGAAAGATTATGCAGCCCCTATTCCTACTGTTGCGCTGGAATTCCTCCCTGGTAAGCAGTGGACATGGCAGGGAAGGCCCTTTCCTTCAGGAGGAAGAAGCCCTAGGTGCACACAGTGGTCAAAAGCAGATCTGGAATAAGATTGTGGCCTCTTGGCTGGGTGCTGTGGCTCACGCCTGTAATCCCAGCACTATGGGAGGCCGAGGCAGGTGGATTGCCTGAGGTCAGGAGTTTGAGACCAGTCTGGCCAACATGGTGAAACCCTATCTCTACTAAAAATACAAAAAAAAAAATTCGCCAGGTATGGTGGCGTGCACCTGTAATCCCAGCTACTAGTAGGCTGAGGCAGGGGGAATAGCTTGAACCAGGGAGGTGGAGGTTGCAGTGAGCTGAGATTGTGCCACTGTACTTCAACCTAGGCGACAGAGTGAGACTCCATCTCAAAAATAAATACATAAATAAATAAAAATAAAATGATTGTGGCCTCTCAGGAATCCTTTAAAGTCATTCAGCTTCTTGAGAGCACACAATCAGAAGAAAATCATCTAAAAAGCTAAAATGAATAAAAATGTACTCTTTAAATAGGTTTTTATCTAGATTTTTTCTCATAACTTTGGATTTTAACTTGCCAAAAGATTGGGACCTTTTCTAGTGGTCAGGTGGATAGCAGGAAGAAAAAACCAGTAGAGAAAGGGAATTTGGAAGGAGGGCTGAGGTTTTTGAGATGGGCTCTGTTTCTCTTCTTGGTGGATACTCCCCAAGAGAGCTATAAAAGAAAAGAGGTGGTTAATTGTTTTGGGAAATATGTTAGAGCCAAATGTGGTCTTGACATCGTTCCCTTCCATTTTGCTTTTCCTAGAGGAAATTGCTTTAAGAGCAAGTGATGGTCCCCAACTGCCTCCTCGGGTCTTGGCCCAGGAAGTCATTTGTTTGGACAGTAGCAGTGGCAGTGAGGATGAAAAAAGCAGTCGAGATGGTAAGATGAAACCAGCCTCCTTTTCTCCCGACCTGGTGTTCATGCTGAGATTGACTGTACTTTGAAAAGAGTCCAGTCCTTCCTCATTCAGTTTGGGATGTGGCTTTGACTAATTTCCCTGTGTCTCATTGGTAAATATAAGTTTTTTGCTTGTCTTAACTTGAGCTGAAAGATAGAAATAGTAAAAGTCAAAATTTTAATAAGTGATGAGAAGTTCTAACTTTAAGTTTCTGTAGTCTTCTGCTCTGACTGTGTGCAGTAAATTATCTTCACTCCCTGGATTTTTGGTTTTGCTTTTTTTGCTGTCTCAGAGGTGATAGAACTGAGCTCTGGAGAGGAGGACACTCTGCATATTGTGGACAGCAGTGAGTCTGTCAGTGAAGACGATGAGGAAGAAGAGAAGGGTGGCACCCATGTCAATGATGTCTTAAACCAGCGTGATGCCCTTGGGCGGGTCCTTGTCAACCTAAACCACCCTCCAGAGGAGGAAAATGTCTTCCTTGCCCCACAGTTGGCACGGGCTGTGAAACCTCATCAGGTACAGCAAACCTTGACTGTTTCTCCTTTTCCTTTTTGTTTCCTTGTTATGAACATTGCCTGCTGGTGGTTATTAGCGTCACAGCCTGTGAAGTACTTGTTTGGTACCAAGAGCAGCTTGTTCAGCTATTGAAAAGACCTGCTACTTCCTTCCAGCAGTTGATGCTTCGGGATTCCTGATGAATAGGAAGGGATGGGGAAAGGGAAGAGACAAGCTTCAGGTTTGCCCTACCCCGTAGAAAGCACTGGATCTCTTGACCTAATAATTTGAGCCTCTTTCTGTGGGATCCCATGACTGAGGTGGTCTCTGGCGAGCAGTGCTTTGATTAGGAAGGTCTGTATCTAGAAGAGATGTGAGAGTCAGAAGATGGAGGGACTTTCTGATAGGAGGGAGTAGAGCAGTTTGTGTTGATCCAGACCCTGGAACCAGGACTGGTGAGTAAAAGTTCCATGAAGACAGACATTGACTCAGTTTACAATTAAGAACTTTTTTTTTTTTTTTTCTGAGACAGGGTCTTGCTCTGTTGCTCAGGCTGGAGTGCAGTGGCACAATGTCTGCTCGTTGCAGCCTTGACCTCCCTGGCTTAAGTGATCCTCCCTCCTCAGCCTCCCAGGTAGCTGGGATTATAGGCCTATACCACCACACCCAGCTAATTTTTTTTTTTTTTTTGTAGAGATGAGGTTTCACCATGTTGCTCAAGCTGATCTTGAATTCCTGAGCTCAAGTGATCCACCCGCCTCAGCCTCCCCAAGTGCTGGGATAACAGGCGTAAGCCATTGTGCCTGGCTGAGAACTTTTTGTTTTTGAGACAGACTCTTGCACTGTCGCCCAGGCTGGAGTGCAGTGATTATGACTCCCTGCAGCCTTCACTTCCTGGGCTCAGGTGATCCTCCAACTCAACCTGAATAACTGGGACTATAGCCTCATGCCACCATGCCCAGCTAATTTTTAATTTTTTTGTAGAGATGAGGTCTCACTGTGTTGCCTAGTCTGTTTTTGAACTCCTGAGCTCAAGTGATCCTCCTGCCTTGGCCTCCCAAAGCATTAGGATTACAGGCATGAGCCGCCGTGCCTGACCTAGTAACTGTATTTTTGTACCCATTAGCCAACGTCTCTTCCTCTCCCTCCTCTCCCTTCCCAGCCTCTGGTAATTACCATTCTATTTTCTACTTCCATGAGATTGACTTTTTTAGCTCTCCCACATGAGTGAGAATGTGTGATATTTGTCTTTCTGTGCCTGGCAGGTTTCATTTAACATAATGACCTCCAGTTCCATCCATGTTGCTGCAAATAACAGGATTTCATTTTTCATGGCTGAATAATATTCCATTGTGCATAGGCACCACATTTTCTTTATCCTTTCTTCCACTGATGGACACTTGCGTTGATTACATATTTTGGCTATTGTGCATAACTCAGCTTAAAAACTCTGCTGCTGTTGTTGTTGTTTTTGAGATGAAGTCTCGCTCTGTAGCCCAGGCTGGAGTGCAGTGGCACAATCTTGGCTCATTGCAATCTCTGCCTCCCAGGCTCAATGATTCTCCTGCCTCAGCCTCCCAAATAACTGGGATTATAGTTGTGTGCCACTGTACCCGGCTAATCGTTTGTACTTTTAGTAGAGACGGGGTTTCACCATGTTCGCCAGGATGGTCTTGAACTCCCAACCTCAGGTAATCTGCACACCTTGGCCTCCCAAAGGTCTAGGATTACAGACATGAGCCATCGAGCCCAGCCTTAAGAACTCTTTAACAGACTGGGCGTGGTGGCTCACACCTGTAATCCCAGCACTTTGGGAGGCCGAGGTGGGCAGATCACCAGGGCAGGAGATTGAGACCATCCTGGCCAACATGGTGAAACCCCGTCTCTACTAAGAATACAAAAATTAGGTGGGCATGGTGGTGCATACCTGTAGTCTCAGCTACTCTGGAGGCTGAGGCAGGAGAATTGCTTGAACCTGGGAGATGGGAGGTCGCAGTGAGCTGAGATCGCACCATTGCACTCCAACCTGGGTGACAGAGCGAGACTCTGTCTCAAAAACAAAAACAAAAATAAAAAAAACTACTCCTATGGAATGGGCTGCCTTAAGAGGGTGAGCTTCCCAACGCTGAGGGAAACCAGACTGACTGAAAGATCCTGTCAGGAATTTGACACTACTGATTCATGCATTACATGGGGCATTACACTGTACTAGTGAATGCTTTTCTGTTTTTTCCAAGAGGACTGTCACCAGCAAATAGACCAGTCAAGGTACAGGGAATCTTCTGTGGCCATCCACACCTGCTATCTATTATAATGCCTTCTCATTTACTTAATTCTTACTAATTACAAAGTGAGTAAAAACTGGAGCCCTCATCTTTTTGAGCCCCTCTGACATTTGTCTTTGTCCCTTGTCAGATTGGCGGAATCCGGTTCCTTTATGATAACTTGGTGGAATCCCTGGAGAGGTTTAAGACCAGCAGTGGCTTTGGCTGTATTCTGGCCCACAGCATGGGTCTGGGGAAAACTTTGCAAGTGATCTCTTTCGTCGATGTCCTCTTCCGCCACACGCCAGCCAAAACAGTCCTTGCCATTGTGCCGGTAAGAGTTTTTGGGAAGGCACCACTTAAGTCACTCCTCTGAAGAGCTCCGCATTAATGCCTTTACTGGGCACCAAAAGGCTTGATGAGCTCAGCTCTGAGTTTGTTCCATAAAACTCTCTTTTTGGACTTGGCTTTCTAATAGGTTAATACTCTTCAGAATTGGCTGGCAGAGTTCAACATGTGGCTTCCACCTCCTGAAGCCCTCCCGGCTGACAACAAGCCTGAAGAAGTCCAGCCTCGGTTCTTTAAAGTTCACATCTTGAATGATGAGCACAAGTAGGTGGCCTGCCCTTTCCTCTCTGCCCCTTTCCTTTTAGACTTCTGTCCGGGATCTGATGTTAAGACAGTCTCTTTGAGTATGTAGCCTGTGCATCCAGATTTGTTTTGGTTTCTTGATGTGTCGCTTTCTCTGTTCTTGCTACTCATTTTTTTCTCTACCTAGCTTTTCAGGAAAGCCAGAGTTAAGTAGCCTGAGAAATTTCCTGTGTTCTGCTTTGGGAGGCTTTTATATCTTGAAAAATATGTGGGGATGGTCATATTTTCCCCATGCATATTGTAGTAAAATTCAACACGAAACAATGGATCTTTCCATTGTCAGATTTTTTTTTTTGTTTTTTGAGACGGAGTCTTGCTCTTTCACCCAGGCTGGAGTGCAGTGGTGCGATCTCAGTTCACTGCAACCTCTGCCTCCTGGGTTCAAGTGATTCTCCTGCCTCAGCCTCCCGAGTAGCTGGGTTTACAGGCGCCCACCACCATGCCCGGCTAATTTTTGTATTTTTAGTAGAGACAGGGTTTTGCCATGTTAGCCAGGCTGATCTCGAACTCCTGACCTCAGGTGATCCACGCACCTCGTCCTCCCAGAGTATTGGGATTACGGTCGTAAGCCACCGTGCCTGGCCTCTACTGTCTAATTTTTTACTTACTACATTTCACTTTTCTTAAAAACCTAATCATTAGTCACTTCTTTTAGGCACTGGTCTGCAGTTGACCTTTAATGGTACAACTCCCAAAGCTTTGAAAGGTGTAAGCCTCGCTTTGTTTTAGATTTAAATAAAATTATCTATCTATGTATGCCATAAAGTCAACCTGATTTCCAAAAGTCTAAAGCTATTTCTTGGTTCAACAAACCAGCTCTATATGCTAACCTTTCCCCTCATTGGTATGGATAATTGAGAAGGTAGACTTACTGTATTTTTTGCAGAGGGTGCCTTTTGTGATGTTTGGACACACACATAAAAATGAGGAGATGATGAGTTGACCTCACAGGTGGTTGCTCTGCTTTCTTAGATTTCAGGACTTTTAGTCCACATGCAATCAATGAAATACAGTGAGGGCTCTGGTGTTTGGAAGTGGAGTGACTTACTGAGGGTCATCTGGTCTCTTCTCTTTCCTCTTTACTGTTTGTGGCTCTTTATTCACTTGAGCCCAGGCAAGTAAACTGCAGAATGTTGCCCTTCCTTCTGTGACCTTGTATTTATCATGGGATTGAAATGCTCCTTCAAATGTTGAGTTGTAGTCATGCGTGAATATCCAAGGGGATTTTCATTTTCTGTTGCCTTATGTAGTTGAATTGCTATGTTTCTTGTTGTTTAACCACCATCAATGATCCAGTTCATCCTGAGTGCAATTAGTTTCTCTGAGATGATGGGAGGTCCTTGGGTGGTAGGCTAGCTAGCCCTGTGCTTGCTGCCACATGAAATCTTTGGTAATAAGAAGTTCTGAATGTACATCAACACAGCTTTGATTGTGAGCAATTCTTCCTTGGGAGCAGTGGAAACAATAATTCTTGAGATATAATTCACATCTCACACAATTTTCTCTGTTTACCTTGCAGGACGATGGCATCTCGTGCTAAAGTAATGGCTGATTGGGTGTCAGAGGGTGGGGTGCTACTGATGGGGTATGAGATGTACAGACTCCTCACTCTGAAGAAATCATTTGCCACAGGTAGACCGAAGAAAACCAAGAAACGTTCTCACCCAGTCATCATTGATCTAGATGAGGAAGATCGGCAGCAGGAGTTTCGGAGAGGTGGGCAGCCTATCCCAGGAATACTCTTGTTGGTGTTTCACGAAAAAAGAAATCAGGTCTACTAATAGCACCTAGTCAGATGTAAAGGGCATTATTGATGTGAATTGTTATCATGGATCAAAAATCCTGGTTCCCAAGATGAGTAGGATGACTTCCAATGGCTCTTAGAAGGTACTGCTTTCTCTGCCAGCTGTGCAGTTATGGTTAGGCCAGGCCACACACTGGCTTGGGGGAGATTATTCCTCTGTTCGTCTGTCCCTGTTTCTCTCACAGAACAGTTGGAATAGTAACCATTTCCTTTACCACTTTCTAGAGATGTTCTGAGAAAGCATGAAGAAAATATAAAGTGTTTAAATCACTAATATAAAGACAAAGTAGTAATACTATTGTTTGTGAATTTATAAAAAAGAATGTATCCCAGTTGCTTTTAGTGAAAACCATTCCTGTCATAGTTCTAATTCTACTCCATCTTCTAAGGGGCCTTTGCTCATTTGCGAAAGAAAGTTTTTAAGGGCTCAGAGGCCATTTCACTTTATAAGTCTCTTCATCTATGAGATTATGTTTGTTTTAGGTTTGCTTCTATGGTAGAGCTGGGATGAATTTGCCATTTAGCAATGACTGGAGAATAACTGCGGGAAGACCCTGTCCTTTAGCTAGCTCTTACCAGCCAGCCTTCAGATGGAGTCAAGACGCTGGCAATGGTGAGAGCCCACTAAAGTGTCTGGATTATTCCCATTGGTTTCATCCAGATGCATTTTTAATCCTAGGCTGGCACTCTGTAAGGTCCCTCTCTCTGCTGCCCAGTTGGTCCAAGCCCTAGGAATGCAAGTCAGTTATACTTTTCACATAAAGAAAAACAAAGTAAGGAAAGGAACAGGGGAAAGGGATATTTATTGCAAGAGTCAACTGCCAGATTAGCGTCATACCAAGTCATACCAGTCATATCCAGGAGCTTGAATGGCTGGCACCCTCTCAGCAAGGGGGGCTGACTCTTGCTTCCTGCTTCCTTCATTTCTTCTGTCTCCTCCAGGGTGCACCCCTACTTCTCATATTATTGACTAAGAGCAGGCCCTGTCACCCTCTGACTCCGGATCCTCTTCCCTCCCTAGAGTTTGAGAAGGCTTTATGCCGCCCTGGCCCTGATGTAGTAATCTGTGATGAGGGACACCGCATCAAAAACTGCCAGGCCAGCACCTCACAGGCTCTGAAGAATATCCGCTCTCGCCGCCGGGTGGTGCTGACTGGGTACCCTCTGCAAAACAACCTCATTGAGTACTGGTGCATGGTGGACTTTGTGCGCCCAGACTTCCTTGGCACCCGGCAGGAGTTCAGCAACATGTTTGAACGCCCTATCCTGAACGGGCAATGTATTGACAGCACACCTCAGGACGTCCGCCTCATGCGGTACCGGAGCCATGTCTTGCACAGTCTTCTGGAGGGCTTTGTGCAGAGGTGAGCCATCCTCAGGGTCCTGCTTCCTGAATTTTCAGAGGGCCCTGTTGCCAAGGGCATGCCAAGCCTGTTATATAGGATAGGATGTTGGAGTAGGAGGGCCCCTTCCCTGAGGCAGTAGTAAAACTTTGCTTCCTGTGACAAGCTAGCAGATGGTGGATATCCACTGTTTCAATTCTCTGAAAGTTTGGCCTAGAAGTGCTTCTCTCAAAAGTTATCTTTAAAGGTACTGGAGACACCTCTCTTGCTGAGAGAAGCAAGAAAAAAGTACCATTCTGCTGACTTACCTTAGGCTAGTCTAAAGCAGATCCCTCATTTTTCCTTGTTGAGATGGCATATGGAGCGAAAGCTCAGAGAGGCAGCCCAAATTAAAGTAAGAACCTCAGGTTCCCCTGTCTCTGTCATGCAGTCAGACATGACCTGGGACAGGTCACTCTGCCTCTTAGTGTTAGTTTTCATCCTTAAGGTGAGTTTCTTCTTGCTTGTTGAACGGCTCTGCATTATTGCAAGGCTGCAGTGCATGTTGAGATCCTCAAGAGGGAGGTGTGGTAGGAGTGCAAAAGGCTCTGTTTTTATCTTGCTCTGACCCCTCCTGGCCACACTACCTTGCCATTTCTGATCTGTTTGCCTCCGTAGGAGAGGCCACACTGTGCTGAAGATTCATCTCCCTGCCAAGGAAGAAAATGTGATCCTTGTGCGGCTCTCCAAGATCCAGCGAGATTTGTACACGCAGTTCATGGATCGCTTCCGGGACTGTGGTAGCAGCGGTTGGCTGGGGCTGAACCCCCTTAAGGCATTCTGCGTGTGTTGCAAGGTGCATTGGGGCCTCAGGAAAGATTGAGATGGGTACTAAGGATACACATGGTCCCAAGGGAGTTACTTCTACTGAGAGTCTTCAATAAAGGAAGAATAAAGTGAGAAGGGGCCACCTCAGTTCACTGCACTGGAGGTTTGGGGGCTCTAAGGAGAGAGGTGCTGGTTGTGTACCACATAACTCCTGGGGGTGCCATTCACACAGTGTAATATAACTGATGCTTCCTGCAGTGTGCAACTCAGCTGCACAACTTGTTATACCAAGGGGGATAATGGAAAAATACTGTGGGGCAGTGTTTTTGACTGCTAGCATAATCAGAATTCAAGAGAGATATAGCTTAGACAAGTTATTAGGGATACCTTCCATTGGATTCCATACTAATCATATTGAGATTGCTTTCATTCTTTTGTTGAGGGACCTGTTTCATTGACTTTGTACCTCTACCTCTGGCTACTCTTTAGCAGACCTGTTAGGTATTATTCTTAATTGGCCACTGCTTTGATAAGTCAGCAGAAGGTATGTGTCTGGGCTTAGGAGGGGTTTCCAAATATTTCTTTTATAGCCACAGTGCTGGGTCAAGGCCAGGAAACTAAGGCAAACATGTTCTGTGATGATGCTTTGGTGTCACTGCATCCTTCCTTCTTCCTTTCCTCTCTTCTCCTGGGAGTTCTCAACTCTTGCTAGGAATACTCCCTGAAATGATATGTGATTGATCTACTATAAGTCAGATACATTTTTGTCTATAGTTTTATACAGTAGCAGACTGTAGCCACACTGTGAAACTGGAACATTCTTACTCTTATTTGAATAAGAATGTCAAAAAGGCTTGTGACAGCTTTTTTGATTATGTAGCAAACATACTTACTGGTATGGCTCCTGGTATGAATGCTCCCATTCATGTGTCATGGTGACCAGAACTGGCAATGAAAACAAATATGCAGGCTCTTTGGCTGTGAAGGGCTCTGACTTTAATTTTTGGTGTGACAGTGTTTACTGTGGGACGTGTGTGTTTGAGCAAGTATGTGTTTCCAGACTTCCTGGGACACCCTTGCATTGTTCTTTGTCCTGTGTCCCCTCTCCCTTTCCTTGAACCTCAGATCTGGAATCACCCTGATGTGCTGTATGAAGCCCTTCAGAAGGAGAGCTTGGCCAATGAGCAGGACCTAGATGTGGAAGAACTTGGCTCTGCGGGGACCAGTACCCGCTGTCCACCACAGGGAACAAAAGGCAAGGGGGAGGATAGCCCCTTGGCTTCCTCAGTGGGAGAGGCAACCAATAGCAAGTTCCTACAGGGCGTTGGCTTCAACCCTTTCCAGGAGCGAGGCAACAACATCGTCACATATGAATGGGTAAGTCAAACAGATCCTTCAGGAACCATAAACTATTGCTGAGAAGGGGTGGTGCAAGTCCTGCCTGGGGAAAGGGTAGAGATGCACGGCTAGGGTCTCTTTATGGAATTACAAAGGTGGCCAATGAGCTGCTGCCTTGGAAGGAAAGAATTTTATTTCTAGTGATCTGACCTTGCACCTGCTCCAAGCTGCCTTGTTTCTCTCTTGCAGGCCAAGGACCTTCTGACTAATTACCAGACTGGAGTCTTAGAAAACTCTCCCAAGATGGTACTGCTTTTCCACCTGATTGAGGAAAGTGTGAAGCTTGGGGACAAGATCCTTGTGTTTAGGTAGGATGAGAAACTTCCAGTTGAGGCTGTGTGTCTGTGGTAAAGAATGACAAAACCACCACAGAACAAGACCAAGGCCACCGCCCCCCTACAAGTGCTTATTGTGAGGACCTTCTTGCATGTTGTCTGTCTCTTGGAGTTTCTTTCATTGCCCAATTTGATTTCTCCACAGAGAACAATTTAGAACCCTAGGTTAGCATTGGAGTCTAATCTTTCAAATTCTGGCCTGTTTTTGTTTACTTTGAGAGCTAAGGATAGTTTTTACATTTTTAAAGGGTTATAAAAAACGTACAAAGAATATGCGGCAGAGACTCTATGTGGCCAAGAAAGCCTAAAATAATTGCTATGTGTCCTTTTACGGAAAATGTTTGCTGACCCTTGGTTTAATCTTCTGTCCCTCCCCAACCTTTTATTTTCGGTTTTAAGCTTTGTCTGTAAAGCCAAATAAGTGATGTAGTTTGCTCCAAGTTATATTCTCAGTCTGGCTAGAGCTTTGAGTCTCATTAAGACTTGACTCCCCAGGAAAATGAAGTTGATTGCTTCTCCTCCTTTATAATCTGACCAGATTATGCTCCAAGAAGAACCAAGTGGCAGGAGCCTGGCTCAGGAGCCTCAGAGTGAGGGCTTCCACATGTGACACACTTTGAGAGGACAGCAGTGATTCTAGCTTGGGGAGAGCCTAGTGTTGATTTTATGGATCACTTCTAAGGACACTGGCTCTCATGATATCTTGGAAGCAGTTGAGTGATTTTGTCTCTCTAGTAAAACCCATAATCATATCTGATGTATATTCATGCAGTGGTAGTGTTTAATGCTAAATGCTATTTGTTACTCTGCATTGAGCTAAACCCCAGAAACTTTCAACTGTGGAAGTGAAGAATGAAGAGAGTATTTTTCAGTGTGGTGGTAGTCATAAGTATGTGGATGACTCTGCTCCCATTATGTGCTAGGAAGGATACCCTTGGTTGTTCTTGGTAGAGTTACCTCTTTCTTTTTCTTTTTCTTTTTTTTTTTTTTGAGATGGAGTTTCACTCTTCTTGCCCAGGCTGGAGTGCAGTAGCGCGATCTTGGCTCACTGCATCTTCCACCTCCCAGGTTCAAACGATTCTCCTGCTTCAGCCTCCTAAGTAACTGGGACTACAGGCACGTGCCACCATGCCAGGCTAATTATTTTTGGATTTTTAGTAGAGATGGGGTTTCATCATGTTGGCCAGATTGGCCTTGAACTCTTGACCTCAGGTAATCCGCCCACCTTGGCCTCCCAAGTGCAGGGATTACAGGCGTGAGCCACTGTGCTGAACCTAGAGTTACCTCTTTTTTTTTTTTTCCTTTTTTCTGAGACAGAGTTTCACTCTTGTTGCCCAGGCTGGAGTGCAATGGTGTGATCCTGCACTGCAACCTCCGCCTCCCAGGTTCAAGTGATTCTCCTGCCTCAGCCTCCCAAATAGCTGGGATTACAGGCGTGTGCCACCACACCCAGCTAATTTTTGTATTTTTAGTAGAGATGGGGTTTTGCCATGTTGGCCAGGCTGGTCTTGAACTCCTGACCTCAAGTGATCCACCTGCCTTGGCCTCCCAAAGTGCTGGGATTATAAGCTTGAGCCACTGTGCCCAGCCTAGAGTTACCTCTTACTAGTGCTAGGTTCTGGAGCTCCCATTGTCAGAAAGTTGTACAAGAGTATGAACCTATTGGGAACAATGTTCCCTCAATTCTGGGAGCCATCTGAACAAAATGTTTTCCATTTCAGCCAGAGCCTTTCCACCTTGGCTCTCATCGAGGAATTCCTTGGAAAACGAGAAGTACCCTGTCCACCTGGTGCCGAGGGGCAAGGAGCACAGAAGTGGGTTCGAAACATTAGCTACTTCCGTGAGTTCATTGTTGCGTTGTTCTTGAAGCCTTGGCAAGGTCTGCTTAAGGGTTTCCTTTCCTTCTCTCTCTTTTCTTTTTCTCCACTCCATCAAATGCATAGGAATATTTGTGATTAGCCAAGGAGCAGGGGAATACTAAGAGCCAGTCGTTGCGTACAGGGTACTGTACTAGGGGCTGGGGGATTGAGAGAGATGGGAGAGTATAGAGAAATAGAAGGCATAGGCCTTCTCTTCATCTGAGATATGACAATTCAAGAACAATTGAGTGCCCTAACTGGGGTTCTAAGGAGGATAGAATCACTCTGGTGAGGATGATTGGCCAAGGCGTCTCAAAAATGGGGAGGATTTGAATATACAGGGCTATTGTTGCCTGAGGATCATTCCAGGCTGAAAGATCAGAGTGAACACAAGCCTAGATCATGCATTCTCTGTGGGGGAGGTAATACTTTAAAGGACTGAACTTTTTTTTTTTGAGCAGAGGGTGGAAATCTTAACTTTTAAAATGTGTAAGTCACAGATATACATACAGTACATAAACAGATATACAGTATATCTGTGGTATTAAATTTCATGGAGGACATAGTGTCATTGGGGAAAAAAAATCATTCCTTAGTGGGGTGGTAATGAAAAAAACGTTGAGAAATACAGACCTCAGCACTGCTGACATTTGGGCCAGATAATTCTTTGTTTTAAAGGGCTGTCCTGTATATTATAGGACATTTAGTAGCATCCCTGGTTTCTACTCACTAGATGGCAGTAGTGACAACCAAAATATCTCCAGACATTGCCAAATGTCCTGTGGGGAGTGGGAGTGTGGAGAAATCGCCCTCATTCCACTGCCCTAATGGAAGGATTTAGAGAGCTGGAGGTTCAGGGAGTAGCAGGAAGACCCCCACACAAGGTGTGGCTCAGAGCTTGCCCTATAACTCAGTGGTGAGCTGTGCTTGGAAACTGTTGGAACTCAGGTTGGAAAGGTAGGTTTGGGTCCTGACATAGAACCCCAGTACCAAGCAATTAAACTGTTGCTTCCTACAACAGTAGTAATTCAGTTTTTCAGGTGGTATTTCATGCCCTTAGTTTTGCTGTTTACTCAAGATGATAAGTGTTACCCTTACTATTTATGTTTCTTAACTGAAGTTTTTTTTTTTTTGGGAGACAAAGTCTCACTCTGTTGCCAGGCTGGAGTACAGTGGCGCGATCTCAGCTCATTGCAGCCTCCGTCTCCCAGATTCAAGCGACTCTCCTGCCTCAGCCTCCCAAGTACTGGGACTACAGGCACAGGCCACCACGCCCAGCTAATTTTTGTATTTTTAGTAGAGACGGGGTTTCACCATGTTGGCCAGGATGGTCTCGTGATCTGCACACCTTGGCCTCCCAAAGTGCTGGGATTACAGGCGTGAGCCACTGCATCCAGCCCTAAAGGCTATTTTTTCTCCCTCTTTTGAGCTTCCCACCTTTCATTCATGTGTTTCATCCTACTGTTCCAGATGTATTTCCTTTATGTCTCCTTACAGCAAGTTCTTAGCCTCAGGAGCTTGTTAAAAATGCAGATTCCTAGTGGAGGAACATAATCCATATCAAAACACAAACTCTTAGTCCTTCTGCACTCACCAGGACTCACAAGACTGAGGCAGAGAGGTCACCTTGAGCCAGTATTTTCCAAATTCCCTAGGTGATTACTATACACTCTGAAGTCTAGGATTCTTGGCTTTAGAATTGACCTAAGAACTAAAGGGGAAAAATGTAGTTTATAATCCATGGTGCACCTGAGAATCACCTGGGGATATTTTCAAATTGTAGATGCCTGGGCCTTACTTACTGTAGGCCCATGATATGTCCAAGGGGTGAGATCTGAGCACTGTTGTGTTTCTGTTTGTTTTGCTCTTTAAAAGACATTGCCCAGTGATTTTGCTGTGTATCCTTGCTCTAATATATCCACTTCTTATGGTTTTCCTTCCTCCTAGGGCTAGATGGTAGCACCCCTGCCTTTGAGAGGGAGCGGCTCATTAATCAGTTCAATGATCCCAGCAACCTCACCACCTGGCTGTTCCTTCTTTCTACAAGGTGAGTGGATCCCAAGAGGTGAGGTCAAAGGAATCTGTACAGGCTGTTGGCCACCTGGGCTGGTACCCCAAAACTCCAAGTTCCCTCAGAAGAGATCAGCTTAGATTTGTAATTGTTTTTGGGGTCAGAGAGGGGACTTCAAAAGGAAATTAGGTTAGCAGGGCAGTCATGATGGTATCATAAAATTTTTTGAGACCTTCATTAACAATGGTTGTGGCTCATGCCTGTAACCCCAGCACTTTGGGAGGCCAAGGTGGGAGGATTGCTTGAACCCAGGGGTTCAAGACCAGCCTGGGCAACGTACTAAGACCTTGTCTCTACAAAAAATCAAACAATTAGCTGAGTGTGGTGGCATGCGCCTGTGGTCCCAGCTGCTTGGGAGGCAGAGGCAGGAGGATGGCTTGAATCTGAGAGGTTGAAGCTGCAGTGAGCTCTGATTGAGTCACTGCACTCCAGCCTGAGTGACAGAGTGAGACCCCGTCTCATTTTTGAAAAAAACAAACAACAGCAACAAAAAATATCCAAGGGTTTTAATTGGCTTTTCTCTCAGGAGTGTTATGAGGCTTAGATGATGTGGTGAATGTGAAAGTGCTTTAAAAAGGAGAAAGTGCAAGGTAACTGTAAAAGGCTGATGGCATTGTCTCATGCCAAGCAGCTTGAAGGCTGTGCTGCCTTCTGCCATCATAATGCCCTTGGCAGGCTGTGAGCCAGTCACTCTTCTAAGCTGTTGGACTAAAAATAGTGGAAACATCTGTGTGCAGAAGTTTCCCCTCACCAAGGAACATCACTCCAAGGCCAGGATGTGGGGGCCTTACTTGGTACAGAGAAGAGGAGAGTAAGTTTTCTTTCTGAGCTGGTAGACACTTTCATGTTGGATTTCAGGGCACAATTTTCAGTGCTTGAGGAATGTACTGTTTATCAGCAGGACAGCAAAATCCTTGAGTATGTTGTGCTTAGTTAGGGCTTAGGACAGAGTAATATTGGGGTAGAAGTCACAGAAGGCAAAACTGATTTGAAAACCTTTTTTAAGACTAAAGATTCTGTGATTGTTGGCTTGTCTTTTAAAGGGCCGGATGCTTGGGTGTGAATCTGATTGGTGCCAACCGAGTGGTGGTGTTTGATGCTTCCTGGAACCCTTGCCATGACGCCCAGGCAGTATGTCGGGTATACCGTTATGGCCAGAAAAAGCCCTGTTACATCTATCGCCTTGTGGCTGATTACACTCTAGAAAAGAAGATCTATGACCGTCAGATTTCCAAGCAGGGCATGTCAGGTGGGCCATCTTCCAGACTTCAGAGAGGCACATCTATACAGCCTTTTAGTATCAAGGGTGGGAGAGGAGGAGCAGGATATGGGAACACAGGCAGGCTTCGAGAAAGCCATCATTTCCTCCTATCTCATTCTGATTCACATTGCTTAAAAGGTAATTGACCTCAACTTGTTGAAGGTGAGTTTAATGATAACAAACCAAGCTCGTTATACAAGTTCTCCCCTTATATGATGTTTCCAGTGTCACCAGGACCTCAGACCTAGTCTTTGACTTTCAGATATGGGATGACTTTTCATTATTAGTGACAGTTATGCTACTTCTCTCTGTTGACCTTTACAGTTTTTAATGCGGTGTGCTGACTTTCTCCATGTTTTTATCCTTCTAGATCGGGTGGTGGATGATCTAAATCCAATGCTGAACTTTACCCGGAAAGAGGTAGAAAACCTACTGCACTTTGTTGAGAAGGAGCCAGCTCCCCAAGTTTCCTTGAACATAAAGGGGATCAAGGAGTCAGTCCTGCAACTGGCTTGTCTGAAGTACCCTCACCTCATCACCAAGGTAAGAACTTGGTATGCATGCAGTCCCCGGAGTGGGAATCTCTCTGTCAAGGGAGGCTTGTCTTGTAAGCTTGTTTTCTTCATCCAAGGTGATGTTTCATGCAGGTGACTTGGACTCAAGGGCTTCTTTTTCTTGCCCCACTCAGTCCCCCTCCCTTTCCCCAACCACTTACCCCCTTCCCTAATCTGGTCCTGGGAGTGCTAAGGTTAGCCATGTATAATAATTTGGCCAGTGTGAGTCTTCTTAGCAGAAAGAGAGGGGAAATTTCTAAAAATGTAGTTTGTTAATTATCTGAACTCCCCCATTCTTTTGATAGGGAAGGCAGGCTTTGATGTCTAAAGCTGGTCCTAGGTTAGAGCTATAAATTACACTCTTGACAGAAAGACAGTAAACCAGCCTGTGTATCTATGAGCAGTCTCTTCACTAGTGCTGGAGACAGCCAGCTCTTTTCTTGGTCTTAAAGTAAGGCTCATTATCCATCAGCCATATTGGTAACTAAATCAACATCCTCCTGTGTCCCCAGGAGCCTTTCGAGCATGAGTCATTGCTCCTGAACCGAAAGGATCACAAGCTAACCAAGGCTGAGAAAAAAGCAGCAAAGAAAAGCTATGAGGAAGACAAACGCACGTCAGTCCCCTATACCCGCCCATCGTATGCGCAGTATTACCCTGCCAGTGATCAGAGCCTGACCAGCATCCCTGCCTTCAGCCAGAGAAACTGGTGAGTTGATGCTTCCTGGAACCCTTGCCATGATGCCCAGGTGGTATGTTGGGTATACCGTTATGGCCAGAAAGGGGAGGGTCTCCTGCTGGGCCAGGCACAAACACCTTTCAACTTGTTCATATTTTAAACAAAAGCAGAGCCTACAACTTGTTCCTTGACTGCTGTGAATTGACAGGCTCTGCTCTAGGGTAGGTGTGAAAGTAGTTCAGCAGCCCTGGTGTTTTGAATGGTTCTGGTTTTGACTGCCCTAGCTGGAAAAGTGAGCTGCTGGCCCATGACCCAGGAGAGTCCTTCTGGACACCTGGATAGGAGTCGGGGATAAAACTTCCCAAAAAGAGGCCCAGCCATTCCACACAGGTGCATCTTACCCCTAGCACCTTAGTTCTAGGCCTCACTTAGCAGTGATGTTCAAGGATAAAGGATCTGTTCTCTCAGATTACAGTCAGGGAATCCTGCTGCTCCTAAGGGGATTCATTCTATGTCTGTGCCATGATCTGGAACCAAAAAATCTCTTTTTTGAGTACAACATCTAGACTTGTTCAGAATATTAACAGAATAGAAGCCAACTGCTAAGCAGAGAGAGAGGCTCCTTATAAGATATTACAGAACAGTTATCTAGGTTTAATTTTTTTTTTTTAAATTTCAAAACAGTGCCTCACAGCTCTCACCCTCCACTTACTGATCAGATCTGCTACCTGATTCAGTAGCTTGCATTTTTAATTATTTGATTATCTTGAATTAAAAATAATTATTTGATGTGAACAGATTTAAATTTTCTTTCTTTTTTGCGACAGGGTGTTACTCTGTTGCTAGGCTGGAGTGCAGGGGTGTGATCACAGCTCCCTGCAGCCTCGACCTGCTGGGCTCAAGTGATCCTCACACCTCAGCCTCCCAAGTAGCTGGGACTACAGGTGTGCATCACTATGCCTGGCTAATGAAAAAAATTTTTTTGGCTGGGCGCAGTGGCTCACGCCTATAATCTCAGCACTTTGGGAGGCCGAGGCGGGCAGATCATCTGAGGTCGGGAGTTCAAGATGAGCTTGACCAACACGGAGAAACCCCCATCTCTACTAAAAATACAAAAATTAGCTGGGTGTGGTACCGTGTGCCTGTAATCCCAGCTACTTGGGAGGCTGAGGCAGGAGAATTGCTTGAACCTGGGAGGTAGAGGTTGTGGTGAGCCAAGATCGTGCCATTGCACTTTGGCCTGGGCAACAAGAGCGAAACTCTGTCTCAAAAAAAAAAAAATTTTTTTTTTCTTTTAGTCGAGATGAGGTCTCACTGTGTTGCTCAGACTGGTCTAGAACTCCTGGGCTCAAGTGATCCTTCCATATCAGCCTCCCAAAATGTCATAATTACAGGCATGAGCCACCATGCCCAGCCTAAAATTTTTTTTCCTTATTAAGATTCTCATGTTAAAAACAAACAAGCTGCAGCTCCCAGCCTGATCGATGCAGAAGTCAGGTGATTTCTGCATTTCCAATTGAGGTACCTGGTTCGTCTCATTGGAACTGGTTAGACAGTGGGTGCAGCCCACAGAGGGTGAGCCAAAGCAGGGCAGGGCATCGCATCACCTGGGAAGCACAAGGGGTCTGGGGATTTCCCTTTCCTAGCCAAGGGAAGCCGTGATGGACTGTACCTGGAAAATTGGTACACTGCCACCCAAATACTGCGCTTTTCCAATGGTCTTAGCAAACGGCACACCAGGAGATTATACCCCGTGCATGGCTCAGTGGGTCCCACGCTCATGGAGCCTTGCTCACTGCTAGTGCAGCACTCCAAGATCGAACGGCAAGGTGGCAGCCTGGCTTGGGGAGGGATGTCCACCATTGCTGAGGCTTGAATGGGTAAACAAGCAGTCCGGAAGCTGCAGCTGGGTGGAGCCCACCACAGCTCAACCAGGCTTGCCTGCCTCTGTAGATTTCACCTCTGGGGGCAGGGCATAGCTGAATAAAAGGCAGCAGAAACTTCTGCAGACTTAAATGTCCCTGTCAGACAGCTCTGAAGAGAGCAGTGGTTCTCCCAGCACAATGTTTGAGCTCTGAGAATGGACAGTCTGCCTCCTCAAAAGGGTCCCTGACCCCCGTGTAGCCTAACTGGGAGACACTTCCCAGTAGGGGCTGACTGACACTCATACAGGTGGGTGCCCCTTTGAGACGAAGCCTCCAGAGGAAGGTTCAGGCAGCAATATTTGCTGTTCTGCAGCCTCTGCTGGTGATACCGAGGCACACAGGGTCTGGAGTGGACCTCCAGCAAACTCTAACAGACCTGCAGCTGAGGGACCTGACTGTTAGAAGGAAAACTAACAAACAGAAAGGAATAGCATCAACATGAACAAAAAGGTCATCTACACCAAAACCCCATCTGTACGTCACCAGCATCAAAGACCAAATGTAGATAAAACCACAAAGATGGGAAGAAACCAGAGCAGAAAAGCTGAAAATTCTAAAAACCAGAGCACCTCTTCTCCTCCAAAGGATCACAGCTCCTTGCCAGCAACAGAACAAAGCTGGACAGAGAATGACTTTGACAAGTTGACAGAAGCAGGCTTCTGAAGGTCGGTAATAACAAACTTCTCTGAGCTAAAGGAGGATGTTCAAATGCATTGCAAGGAAGCTGAAAACCTCGAAAAAAGATGAGACAAATGGCTAACTAGAATAAACAGTGTAGAGAAGACCTTAAATGACCTGATGGAGCTGAAAACCGTGGCATGAGAACTATGTGACGCATGCACAAGCTTCAGTAGCCAATTTGATCAACTGGAAGAAAGGGCATCAGTGATTGAAGATCAAATAAGTGAAATGAAGTGAGAAAATTTTAGAGAAAAAAGAGTAAAAAGAAACGAACAAAGCCTCCAAGAAATATGGGACTATGTGAAAAGACCAAATCTATGCTTGATTGGTGTACCTGAAAGTGACAGGGAGAATAGAACCAAGCTGGAAAACACTCTTTAGGATATTATCCAGTAGAACTTCCCCAACCTAGCAAAGCAGGCCAACATTCAAATTCAGGAAATACAGAGAACACCACAAAGATACTCTTCGAGAAGAGCAACCCCAAGACACATAATTGTCAGATTCACCAAGGTTGAAAGGAAGGAAAAAATGTTAAGGGCAGCCGGAGAGAAAGGTCGGGTTACCCATAAAGGGAAGCCCGTCAGACTAACGGTGGATCTCTCGGCAGAAACTCCAGTAATTGGAGACCAGCCTTGGCAACATAGTGGGACCCAATCTCAAAAGAGAAAGTCACTCTCTTTCAAAACTTTCAGACTTTACTTCTGTCATTTCCCAAGATAGTATTGCTCAGGAATGGTCTCTTCTCTTTTCCTCCACTGGCGTCCCCCTCTTTTTTTCCCCCCCTCTTTTTTGGGCTTTTCTGTGTAACATCAGGAGTGGACTAAATCTGAGCCCAGTGAGAAAAGCCACATGGAGAGAAGATGTGACAAATGGTCCAGGCTGGCTATAAGGAGATGTCAGCTTTGTTTCTGGCTTAGTTCTGGCCCTATGGGGGCACCAGCTTCTCACAGCATTTGATGAGTTCATGATCCTGCTGAGTTTTTTTTTGTCCACATGGGTACATGTGAGGAACACTTCTTACCCAAATTCTTAGTCTTAGTGCCTGCAGGGTATGAGGCTTGGGCTGGGTTTCTGTTACATTGATACCTGACCAGGGCCTCTAACTCCTGCCAAACCATCCTAGGAAGACATTGGGGAAACAGGCCAGATAGTACAGGGCTGGGGCCCATCTGGGAAGTTGGAGGTCCACAGGGACAAAGGGCTGACCAAAGGGGCCTTTAAAAACCTAAGAGCAATGTGATTGAGGAGTCATGCAGACCAGCTCCAACAGCAGAGTGATATAAAAGTGTTATTTTATGTGCCAGTCTTCAGTCAGATGAGGAAGTATGTATCAGTCCAAGGGTTTCCACACACCCCCACCTCCGCCCCAGGCCCAAAGACAAAAGATGCAGACTTAAGAAAGCTTGTAGACAGGGACTTTTCAAAAATCTTAAATCAGTAGAAGCCTGGCTTTTGTACACAGTGCTTTGGCAGCTGCTGCTTTTGTTGTTGTCATGACTGGAGGGGCACTTTGAGGGTTGGTCCAGGCTGGAGCTAGGATGAACTCAATGAAAAGTAATGCAGAAGAGAGAGAGAGGTGTCTGTATTACTTATTGAGACTCAAGGTTTCAGAGAGAAAGTAAAGATGTTTAAAGTTGGGACAGACTATTTTTTAGGATCACCTAAACATGTGTCATTACATGGCCCGTTTTCCATGGGTGAATGGGGAAAATTCTGCCCATCTCAACTTAACATACACCGTGGTCAGGAGAACTTTTCCTGCCTTATTGCATCTTGACAGCTTCCTGACTTCCCTTTAGGGACTAACTCCTAGTGTAGATAGTCCAGGTTCTAGAGGAGCAAATACTGTCTTGCGTGTCCAGAAAATATTATTCCACCAACATCTGATTATCCTTAGACTTTGACAGATATTATCCCTCTGCCTCTTTTGCTACAATTGAGTCCTGCCTTCTAGTCTCCTTTTGAATTAACCAGACCCTGCAGATTCTTCTGATCCTTCTCTGAGCAGCAACTGATGGTGTAGAATGGGACAGCCTAGAGAGGCTCTGTAGCCTTTGGAGAAAGGTAAGAGTTGTTCTGGCAAACTCTTTTAGTGTCCTTGTCTTTCTCTTACAGGCAGCCAACTTTGAAGGGTGATGAAAAGCCTGTGGCCAGTGTTCGTCCTGTACAGTCCACCCCCATCCCCATGATGCCCCGGCATGTCCCACTGGGAGGCAGCGTAAGCTCTGCCTCCAGCACAAATCCATCCATGAACTTTCCGATCAACTACTTGCAGCGTGCAGGAGTCCTTGTGCAGAAGGTGGTCACCACGACAGGTGGGAACTCCTGGGTTCTGTGGCAGAGCTGCTGTCCCTTTTAAAATTACTTTGTTCATTTAGGAAGTATCTATTAAACACCTTTTGTATTTTTGACCTTACTACACTTGGCACTGTTGATAAAAAATAGGGAAGACAACAGTCCCTGGTCTTGAGGAATTTGGATTCTAGTGAAATATCTTGAGAATAACAACACAGAACTGGGTTTTCTTGGATTTGGTGGGTGAGATAGACTCTGAGCGCTGCAGGAATTGTGGAAATGTTACTGGAACACAGGGTCGGTCTCAGGTTCTTACAGAGCTGTGAATATGCTGAACCCTGCCTGACTGTAGAGCCATCTGGGTTTAAAAGACAGCTGTCAACCTTTGTACATAATTAGAAGACCTGAATTGTCACTTGCTCTACCTTTGCGAGTCTGATGTAAATTGAGCATGGTGGGCCAGTCAGCAGTGGTGGGAGGTAGCCAACCCATCCACTCCAGGAGCTTGTTCTGTAATTCAGTATGATTAAGATGGAGAACATTTTGTGATCCTGTTTTTTATCTTGTTATTTGGAAATATTTGTTATATATAAATTATTATTATTATTACTTTTTTGAAGATGGAGTCTTGCTCTGTTGCTCAGGCTGGAGTGCACGATCTTGGCTCACTGCACTCCTAGGCTCAAGTGATTCTTCTGCCTCAGCTTCCCGAGTTGCTGGGATTACAGGCATGCACCACCATGCCCAGTGAACTTTTTTATATTTTGGTAGAGATGGGGTTTCACCATATTGTCCAGGGTGGTTTCAAACTCCTGAGCTCAGGCAGTTCACCCGCCGTGGCCTCTCAAAGTGCTGTGATTACAGGTGTGAGCCACTGCACCCGGCCAATATATAAATTTTAATGAAAAGATCTTAACTGATTTTTCTAAGTAAAAAATTTGAAACGAGTGAAAAAGAGAGCCCCTTGTAATCCTATTATCTACTAATTCTTGAAAATACTGTTTCCCAGGTATGGGGTAATGCCAGCAAGGAAGAAGATTAGGCCATTTTTGGAGCCTAAAGTGATGTGGAGCAGATACGTGCAAATAGTTTAGGGAGGAGGAAAAAAATACACAGAAACAACCATCTGAATGAACTAAAACATTTTTCACACCAAAAACTATGAATTTCTATTTAAATCAAGGGAAATTGATTACAAAGATAATCAGCTCAGATTTCTGGCGAGGTTCCTGTTTTCATAGTATTCTTTGTTTTAGATAATTGTGAAAGATCCTGCTTGCTTTACCTTCCTTGGTTTTGGACCTATGCCCCACTGAGAGGCTGTAGGGAAACCAATGAAGAACTGGGGTAGATGTGGGACTTTGCAATTTCCCCCCCTCCTTCAGTCAGGCCCCGTGCAATCTAAATTTAAGATCTGTGTTTTTCCTAGATATTGTTATTCCTGGACTGAATAGCTCCACAGATGTACAGGCAAGAATTAATGCTGGTGAGAGCATCCACATCATCCGTGGGACAAAAGGTAAGAGCCTGACCAAGGACCTGTGCCCTGCCTTTGGTTGAAAGTGCTGGGCTGGGAAGAAGAATAAATATGTATGACTTGAGCTAGACAGGGCATAGGAATCATCCCATTAGGATGTCACATTCGGGAACTGAATGAGAAAATAGTATTTGTAGGAGCTTAGGGGAGTTGGGTTGAGCCCATAGGATTATTAGTCAGTGGTTTAAAAGAAGGAAATTAAGGTCCCTACATTTCTCTATCTTGCTGTCCTTTTTTTTTTTTTTGAGACGGAGTCTCGCTCTGTCGCCAGGCTGGAGTGCAGTGGCGCGATCTTGGCTCACTGCAACCTCCACCTCCCAGGTTCAAGCGATTCTTCAGCCTCAGCCTCCCAAGTAGCTAGGACTACAGGCACGTGCCACCACGCCCAGCTAATTTTTGTACTTTTTTTTTTTGTTTAGTAGAGACGGGGTTTCATTATGTTGGCCAGGATGGTCTCAATTTCTTGACCTCATGATCCGCCCACCTTGGCTTCCCAAAGTGCCGGGATTACAGGCGTGAGCCACCATACCCGGCCCTTACTGTCATTTTTATGAGAATCTTGGGATGGGACAAGTAGACACAAGGAGACCAAAATTGGAGGGAAAGAGCGGTGGAATGGGTTATAAGCCTACATATATTTACCCACTTGCTTGGAGCAGGGTGGGAGTCCCCTGATAGGAAATGTATTATGTGGATGAATTACACATGGGTTGCATGATAGAATTTTTGCATGTGGTAATTTGAAAAGTCCACATCTGCCTCTGTCTTCCTTACAGAGGGACATGAGATTGGTGGAATAAAAAAGCTGGGCTGAACAATGTTGAGACACAATCTAAGCCTGTTTTTCTCCCTTTTTTCTGCACCCACATCTCCTAACCAAGCCTGTTTTACATATTAGCCTTTAAGCCCCATGATTGTGTGAGGCTCTTTGAGACTTTTTGTTCAGTAGAGAGATTTTGCCCTAGCTTCTGTTGGATTAGAATACCTTTGAGGTTAGGGAAAAAGTGCCATGAAATACCCGGACTCACAGAAAACACCATTCCCAGCCTCCTTACTGGATTCTTCCTAGTCTAGATCCCAGCCCCCTTTACTGCTCTCTTCCTAGTGTATAGCAGGAGTCACCAAACTCTATGCCCCATGGGCCAAATCTAGCCTGCTACCTGTTGTAATATCTGCAAGATAAGAATGGGTTTTACATTTTTAATTGGTTGAAAAAAAAATCAAAAGAGTAATATTTTGTGACATGTGAAATTATATGAATTTCACATTTCAGTGTCCATAAAGATTTATTGGAGAACAGTCATGCCAAGCTATTTTTGTGTTACAGCAGCAGAATTGAGGAGTTTATGACTTATAAAGACTTTATGACTTATAAAGCTCTTATAAAACTATCTGGCTCTTGTTTTTGTTTTGTTTTGTTTTGTTTTTTGAGACAGAGTCTCGCTCTGTCATCCAGGCTGGAGTACAGTGGCGTGATCTTGGCTCACTACATGCTCCACCTCCCAGGTTCATGCCATTCTCCTGCCTCACCTTTCGAGTAGCTGGGACTACAGGCGCCCACCACCACGCCCAGCTAATTTTTTGTATTTTTAGTAGAGACCGGGTTTCACCATGTTAGCCAGGATGGTCTCAATCTCCTGACCTCGTGATCCTCCTGCCTCGGCCTCCCAAAGTGCTGGGATTACAGACGTGAGCCACTCTGCCTGGCCCAAAAACTATCTGGCTCTTGTAAAAAAGTTTGCCAACTCCCGGCCTAAAGGCAGCACTGACATTCAAGGAGGTTGATCAAATGACATACCCAAGGCTGAAGAGAAGATAGATTAGTGCCTTGTGGGAATAGAATGCAGGTCTTTCTTGAATTATTCCTACTAGGGGAGAGAGGATATTGAAGCAATAAGGTTCCTTCCTTCCAGATCAAGAGGAGGACCTGGGCCAGAGTGCCTGGGAACATAGGATGCCAACTTACTCTCTTTTGTAGTACCTTATTTATTTCTCCATTGCATTGAACCCTTCCTGATACTTTGTGGTGTAAGTGTCTGTCTCCCTCTAGAGACTAAGCTCCATGAGACAGGGACTTTTTCTGCCTTGTGCATTCTAGTGTCTAGAACAGTGCCTGGCACATGGTAGTCATGTAATCAATGTTTGTGAAATAAATGAATAATTATGAGTCCATAGCTCAGTCACCCCACTCCTTATTTCAGGGGTCTTGGGAGATGGTATAGCTAATTGCATAGCTATTTACAAGCCCATGGCGCATAGCCCGGAGTTTCCCAGGATTGGCTGTATTGAATGTCTGCTTCTAACTGTCTTCCTCATGTCTATTCTTAGGGACATACATCCGTACCAGTGATGGACGGATCTTTGCTGTCCGGGCAACTGGCAAACCAAAGGTTCCTGAAGATGGTCGGATGGCTGCCTCAGGTGTGATGGCTTTTACTTTCCATTTTACTTTTCAAACATTCATTTGCTTTATTTTGGTTAGGTATTAACTTATTATGTGAACAGATAATATGTACATGGTTCACAATTCAGAATGTACACAAAGAGGTAAAGTGAAAAGTAAGGTTTTTTTTTTTTTTTTTTTTTGAGATGGAGTTTCGCTCTGTTGCCTAGGCTGGAATACAATGGTGCAATCTTGGCTCACTGCAACCTCCGCCTCCCATGTTCAAGTGATTCTCCCGCCGCAGCCTCCTGCGTAGCTGCGATTACAGGAGCATGCCACCACACCCAGCTAATTTTTGTATTTTTAGTAGAGATGGGATTTCACCATGTTGATCAGGCTGGTGTCGAACTCCTGACCCCGTGATCCGCCTGCCTCGGCCTCTCAAAGTGCTGGGATTACAGGCGTGAGCCACCACGCCGGGCCATAAGTTTTTCCTCCACCATGGTCGCAGCCATCCATTGCTCCTCCTTTTTTTTTTTTTTTTTTTTTTTTTGAGACACAGTCTTGCTCTGTCACCCAGGCTGGAGTGCAGTAGCGCAATCTCAGCTCACTGCAACCTCCGCCTCCCGGGTTCAAACGATTCTTCTGACTCAGCCTCCCGATTAGCTGGGATTACAGGTGCGTGCCACCACACCCAGCTAATTTTTGCATGTTTTGTAGAGATGGGGTTTCACCATGTTGCCCAGGCTGGTCTCTAACTCCTGACCTCAAGTGATCCACCCACCTCGGCCTTCCAAATTGCTGGTGTTAAGGTGTGAGCCACCTTGCCCAGCCAACTTTCTTTGTATTTTTAAAACAAATGCTAACATACCATAAAATACTATTTAGTCCTTTTTTCACTCACCAGTAATAGTTTATTCCTTATCATTTCTTCTAGATATGTCTCCTTGAAGGTTCGCACAGGATGAGCTATAACACAATGTATTAACTAGTTCCCTGTCAACATACATTTTGATTATTATACTCCACCATCACTGACAGTGCTTTTTCAGAGGTGGTTATATCTATAGGATATGTTCCTTAAAGTGGGATTGCCAGGTCAAAGGGTGTATGTGTGGCACATGAACAGTGTTAAGAACTCTTGCCAAGTTCCCCTCAGTGGGAGTGGTTCTCATTGAATCCTCCCACCCCAAGCTAGAATTCTAGAGGGCTAGAATGCTCTTATTCCCTGCTTTGTATTAGGGAAATTTCAAATTTTCATACATACAGAAAAGTTGAAAAATAGCACCATGAGCACCCATATATCCTGCACCTAGATTTAATGATTGTTGGTTTTCATAAACCTTCTTCTTTCTCTCCCTCCCTTTCTATTATTTGAGTCATTTGTAAGTTGAAGATACCATGTCATGTTTTTCATCATGTCATTTTATCTCTAAGTACTTCAACATACATCTGCTAAGATTAAAGATATTCTCTTCCTAGCCACAATATCATTATTACACTAAAGAAAGCTAACAGTTCCATAAAATTACCTAGTATTCCAAAATTGAGATTCCTATTTGTCCCAGTTGTCTTTCATAGCTATGGATTTTGTTTTGTTTTCAAATCAGAGTGAAGTGCTTTTTAGCTTGATTTTCCTCTTTCTCCCACACTGATCACTGTCTGTCTCTTACTGCCAGAAAAAGTTTGACTAGTTTTAAGAATGATCTCTTAGTGTTTCATATCCCTTATCTCATAGGATTTACTTTGGTATACTTTTACAGTTTGGGGAACTGGGGTGCAGAAAAGTTACATGTCTTGTCATAGATAGACTTATTTCTGGGGTGAAAGAATTTCTTTCTTTGTGACTGGAAAAGGTTGACTGGGTGATGTTGTTTAGACATCAAACTATTATAATTTTGGGGACTACAGGATAGGATTTTTTTTAATGGAGTTTTCTCCTCCACCCTTCTTCTCTCCCTGGCCACTCTGGTTCTCAGTTACCTACATTTTGTCCCCAGGTTCCCAGGGACCTTCTTGCGAGTCCACAAGCAACGGCAGACACAGTGCCTCATCACCCAAAGCCCCTGATCCTGAGGGGCTGGCCAGGCCCGTCTCTCCTGACAGCCCAGAGATCATCAGTGAGCTTCAGCAGTATGCAGATGTGGCTGCTGCCCGGGAATCCCATCAGAGCTCCCCAAGCGCCAGTGCCGCCCTGCCTGGCCCCCCGGCCCAACTTATGGACAGCAGTGCTGTTCCTGGGACAGCTCTCGGAACTGAGCCTCGACTAGGGGGTCATTGCCTCAGTAGTTCCCTCTTGGTGACTGGCCAGCCCTGTGGTGATAGGCACCCAGTGCTGGACTTAAGGGGCCACAAGCGAAAGTTGGCCACACCACCTGCTGCCCAGGAGTCATCCCGCCGGCGGTCCAGGAAGGGTCATCTGCCAGTCCCCGTGCAGCCGTATGAACACGGGTATCCAGTCTCTGGCGGGTTTGCCATGCCACCCGTCTCCTTAAACCATAACCTCACCACCCCCTTCACCTCCCAGGCTGGGGAGAACTCCCTGTTTATGGGCAGTACCCCCTCCTACTACCAGCTGTCCAATTTGCTGGCAGATGCCCGCCTGGTGTTTCCAGTGACTACTGACCCTCTGGTGCCAGCAGGCCCCGTCAGTTCCTCTTCCACGGCTACCTCAGTCACTGCCAGCAACCCCTCCTTCATGCTCAACCCTTCTGTGCCAGGGATACTACCCAGCTATTCACTCCCATTCTCACAGCCACTCCTGTCCGAGCCGAGGATGTTTGCGCCTTTTCCTTCCCCTGTCTTGCCCAGCAACCTTTCGCGGGGCATGTCTATCTATCCAGGCTACATGTCCCCACATGCAGGCTACCCAGCTGGTGGCCTTCTACGGTCCCAGGTGCCTCCATTTGACTCTCATGAGGTCGCCGAGGTGGGGTTCAGCTCCAATGATGATGAGGATAAGGATGATGATGTGATAGAGGTCACTGGGAAATAGCTGGGGAGCCCCTCCCCACCTCACTTGGGGCCCCCAGCAGGTTGCCCACCAAGCTGGAAGGCAGTGATTTAGACTTTTTGAGAATAGGACACTTGGCAGGAGGGAAAAGGAAGAGGACAAAGGAGGGTGGTTGGCCAAAGTGGCAGAGCTCTGTTGCTGTTTAACAAAAGAGGCGAAAAAAAAAAAGGTCCAGCAGAGCAGCAATAGTGGGAAATCAGGGACCCAAAACAGGGATGGAGGGGCAGTGCAGCCTCTTTTCCTTCCTGCCTTGCTTATGCTGTCTGCTTGCTTGCTCGCCCATCTGAGTGTAGAAGCGCACATCCCATTTCTGTTTTTGGGAACATTCTCTCCCAAGAGAGCTGCCTTACTAGGTGACTTAGCTTGGCCTGGGGAGGGGATTGAAGGGAGGGAGAATGAGTGAGAGAAGGAGGGTGGGTAGCAGGAGCAGACTGTGATCCCATGTGAAGTGGGGTCTTTTTAGGGGTTGGGAAGGAAGCTGACCAGGTATGTGTGTTTGTGAGTGTGTGGGTGTATGTTTATGTATGTATGTATGTATATGTATGGAACAGAGCAGGGGTGAAGGTGGGAGGGGAGGGAGGGAAGAACTAAGAGGGAAACTGAAAAATGAATTTATCTTTCTTTAAATGGAAGTCAGTTTGGTGGTTCATGGCACCTATTAGTGTGAACATCAGGGTGAGCCCAGAAGAGCCATGGAAATCACAAGTTTCCTTCTAGATGGGTGAAGAGAAGGCCCAGCTAACTCAAGTGTCTGGTTTTCAGAGCCACATTTGTGTGAGAATGTGGGGAAATTCATGAGAGAAAATGGGCATTACCAATCTATGTCTCTTAACCCCGGTGGCTATCTCTGAGCAGCTCTCCCTTTCCAGCGTGGAAGGTTGTCTGTGTGCAGAGGCTGGGAGGGAGAAGCACTGCAGTATGTGAATGAAAGGTCATAGAGTTGTGGCTGGAAAAGACATTTTTCACCAGGGTAGAACTGAGCCTCCAGCTGCCTATCCTGGTAGTCTTTCCTGTTTCTTTCCTTCCCCTTTAGAGAGCTCCATGTTAATTTATTTCTTATGGGCAATTATTTATTACTTGGACTTTTCATGTGTCTTGTTTATTTGGGGGTGGGGTGGGGGGAGGTTAGGGGTAAGGAGGGTAGGAGATAGAAAGGGAAGTTTTAAGATATCCCAGACCCTATAGCTACTGGTGAAAAACAATCCTGGATGGATGGTAAATTGACCAGGGGAAGAGTTAGGTTTGACCAAGGTTTGGATTAAACAACTATATTTTTGAGAGATGGCTTTTCAGGAAGATCAGGGAATCCTGAGACTGGATAGTTAGTGGAGGGTGAGACTCATTCCACAGAAATTGAAAGTTGTGATCATAGAGTTTGCAATTGGAAAGTAAGAGACCCCAGATTTGGAGCTATATCCTTCTGGGATGACCTTAGAGGCTGGCTCTCTATGCCGAATAGTGAAGCTGTGGATAGGTGGTTGCTGGGTTGAGGGATTATTGATTTCTTGTTAGGAAATGTCTTCAGGTAGTCCATGTAGGCCTGGTGTCTGCTGCCTCCATATTTGAAGGAACATGGAGGAGCCCTTTCTCTGTAGGAGCCCTAAGTCTGGGTTTTACCTTAAAAGAACGCGCCAGTCATTCTGGGTCTCCCATTATTGCCATTGCCAGGGGAGGGTCGTCTAGTCCTTAAGCATAAACACTGGCTGTCTTCCTATTGGTGTCCCTGCCCCCTCTGTATCCACCACCCCAAGACTTTGCCAGACGGTTCTTTATGATGAACAAACTTTGGCTTTAGAGCTTTACCACTTACCCATGGCTCCCTCCTTACTGGGCAGGTGCTGTACCTGCCTCTTCCCAGCCCAGAAGGCAGCTTAGTCAGGTTATCCCAGTAGTAGCTCCTGCAGTTCTTCTGACCAGCCCATTTCCATCTTTGGAGGGCCTTAGCAGACTCTGGGGTATTGTCCTCAGAGAAGAGACAAGGACATGATGGATGGGATGCATGTGTATATGTGTGTTTGTCTGCTGTCCAATAACACCAAAAGTGGAACTTAAGAAGCTTTGTGTTTTCATAAGCACCCTGCCAGACACTTAACTCTTCTACTCATGGAAGCCTTAGATCTACAATTTAGCTATGCAAATTATTTTAATAATTTAAAAATAGCAGTTCCAACCAGTGCTTTCTCTTTCAGATGCATCCCAAGAATGGATGGTGAAGGGACTCAGTTGGAGTGGGCTCTCAGGTTGAGGCTGGTGCAGTAGGAGTGAGCTAGACTGAATCTCCAATTTACAGGACATACTCAGAACCTGGGTTACACTGATGCCTCTCAGGCCCTGGAGCACTGGGATCCCAGAGACGCATGTGTGCAAGTGTGTATGTGTGTGTGTGTGTGTGTTTTGTCGGGAGAAGGGGGTATTTCTGTGTTCACTTCTAGGAAATCACTGTACCAACCTCCAAGAATCCGGAAACCTTCCCAGCCGGGAACTGAAACCATTCCCTGGAGGGATGGGCTTGACTTTTGAAGTTGACAGAAAGTAAATGGGTATTCTGAGAGGCAGCACATGCTTACTCTCTACCCAGTGTTCCAGGGACTGGGTCTTGCTTCTACTCAGCAGAGGCCATCATTCTGAGAGGCTGACCTGACTAGAGAAGACTTTCTCTCATATGTGCAGTTTCTATTGTGTAGAGGGGTTGGGGGTGGGATCATGGGAAATTGGAGTGCTACCAGGTCCGTGGTTTTTGCTTTTTTTTTTTTTTTTAAAGAAAAGAACCTGAAAACACTTCTGACTTTTCCGCTGTCTCTTTATGTGTGCTGGTAGGCAAATGTGCATGCATACCAAACATAAGCATGTTTGTGAGGGAAGCGGGAAGTATCTCAGAGCCTAAGAACCATGTTTTACAGTTTCTTTGATCATAAACACTTGGTGGTGTCTTCCACCCACCATCCAGGCCTGAGTCGGGGTTGTGGCTGGTAATAAGAGGGAGGGCAGAAAATCAGGCCTAGGCGTTTTCCCTTACCATTGTCTTCATGAAATGTTTTCAAGGGCCTCTCAAGCCCCATTCATCTGGTTTAGCCAAGTTCTCAGCCTGGGGAACACAGTACTACTTAATGATTCAGGTTTACCATTTATAGTGATGCTTGATTTCCTTAATATATTTGTAGATAAAAATTGAACAGGGACAAAGTAGCTATTTAAGAAAGGAAGTGAACCATGTTGGGTCATATCATTTTATTTAGATTGGGTATCTATGAAGTCCACACTTCTTTGAGTTATGCTTCTTAGCCATCTATCTCATCATCTCCTGATTTAAGGATAATTCTGTCTGGTCCTTGGAGCTCTCTTCCCTAAGAATTAGTGTGTGGAGTCTCTATATGCTTGTGATTCACAACTAAATATGAAATTTCTCAATTCAGGAGCAGGAAGCAAAGTGCTGGGGTAAAGTTTTGCAGATTGGTTGAAACACTTAGCCAAAGTTAAGTGACCTGGGTAGGACCATCACTCCCAAAGTTGTCAGCAGAGAAGGGCCCTCTGTGTCAGCCTATTCAAGCCTGGTATTGTTCTGAAATTAAGTCCTTATCCCATGGAGAAGGTCTTCTGGGGGCTTTACATTCTTTGTTACTAGTGTTCTGGATATTACCTTCTGCTTTCCACTTCTTTTTTTTTTTTTTTTTTTGAGATGGAGTCTTGCTTTGTTGCCCAGGCTGGAGTGCAGGGGCATGATCTTGTCTCCCTGTAACCTCCAGTCACGGGTTCAAGCGATCCTCCTGCCTCAGCCTCCCAAGTAGCTGGGATTACAGGTGCACACCACTACGCCCAGTAATTTTTGTATTTTTTAGTAGAGACGGGGTTTCACCATGTTGGTCAGGCTGGCCTTGAACTCCTGACCTCAAGTGGATCCGCCTGCTTTGGCCTCCCAAAATGTTGGGATTACAGGCATGAGCCACTGCTCCCAGCCCCCACTTCCTTTTGATTTCTCAGAAGATCAGTCTTTCCCTTCTGAGCCATGGCCTTCTGTGCACCCAGCTCAGTGGCTCTTCACCTCCAAAACTAGGTGAAGTCATCCTTCCCCAAAAGGACACCGGGGAGATGTTCTGGCCCTCTGCTGACTACTCCCAGGAATCAGTATCTCAAGGACTATTTGAGAATGCTGTGCTCTCCATTGGTCACCTTCAGACTCTGTTCCCCTGCTGCCAGCTCTTCTCTTCTGCCCTGTGTATTTTGCTGTGATCCCCTTAATGGCTTTTCTGTGCTACTAGCTTGGCCCTAGGCCTTTTATGAATATCTGAGTCTTATAACGATGAACTTCTTGAGCAGGCAGTGTCCAACTTCTTTGCTCTTCAGGGACCTGAGTGTGCACCTTTCGCTTTTGCAGGTCTATTTGACATAGTAATCTAGTGCGTTGGGGAGGGGTAGCCAAGCAGACTGCAGTGTCTGCAATGCAGAGGGCTTGGGGAGGTTTGGGTACTCTCTGCTGCCACTACTGGGATGATAATCAGAAGAGAGAGGACCTAATACTGTGACCGGACCCAGGACCCTCCCTGGAAGAGAGCTCAGCCCAGCTGTGTGTGTGTGTGTGTGTGTGTGTGCGCGCGCGTGTGTGTATGTATGTGTGTGCTGTGCTCATCTGCACCTGGGTGTAAAATGACTGTTATCTGGTTGTGTTACTCAGGGTGGGCTGGGGACTCACCAGAAGAATCCCCCCCAGCCTGCCCAAGACAGGTTTTTCCCTTGTACCATCTTCAGAGAGGTCAGGGGAAGAGGGTCCAGGTGGGTTAAGGGGGGTCGCTATGGACAACCACTAAGACCAGACTGCTGCCAGGAGGAGTGGGGGATAATGAGGTGGCCCCAGGGTCCTGGCATCTGGCTTTGGTTTTCCGTCTTCTTTCCTCAGGACGCCCCTGAGGCCTGGGACCTGTGCCTGGCTTTGAGGAGCATCTGTGGCTGGGTGATCCAGCTGCTGGTGTGATCATGGGCTTCCCTCCTCTCAGCAGGGCAGGCGCTCCTGCCCCAGAGACTGGGCAACTGGCTGTTTCTATGACGTATTTATTTTTACTTGTGTTTCATGTCACTTTTTTAAAAAAAAAAAGCAAACAGAACAATTGTAAGTCAGTATAACTGCCTATCAGTTTTCTTTATTTCTCTTTTTGTAAAATAAAATTTAAACTCAAGAAGGCAGTGTTGCTTGATCAAGGGATTGTCTGGATAGCTGTTTGGCTGGGTGGTGGTGAAAGGAATAGATCTTAGAACATAGTGGGCTCTGGGATAGCCCTTGGGTGGTGAGATAGGCAGGAGCAGAAGAAGGAAGACTGCTGGCAGGCTCTTTGTTGCAGTGGGGTTCACTGGGCTTTTTCTACTTTTGTTCACCTGAAGAAGGATGTATTACCAGGCTCCAGGGGAAACAGCAAGCTGACTTCAGAGTGGCTTGAAGCTAGCTAGTCCTCAGCCAAGGCAAGACCAGTGAAGGGGCAGCCCTGACTAGACCAGTGAGTGGCTGGGGATTGGGCACAGTGCCTTCAGAGGGTGGGAGATGGTGTGTCTGTGAGTGGCTGGTGGCAGCGAAAGCATTCTTACTGCATGTGTATTCTCTGATTGTCATCCGTGTTGGGGAATCTAAGTCACTGGCCCACAGAGTTAACCAGAGCTTTGGAGTGTGAGAGGTGGGGGAAAGAAGGGACAGTCTACTCCAGCTTCCTGTTTAATTCTTCAAGGGGAGGGGCCCTGGGGAAACAATTTTCTGGAAATGTACAAAGAAGAATAGAGAAAGAATCTCTGTAGTGATTCCTTGGACAGAGGAAGGCAAGAGGAGATGAAGGCCAAGTCTGGACTCATGATAGGGGAATCTGTGCTATTGGGAGATAAGATTAGGAGTGGAGGCCGAGCGTGGTGGCTCACACCTGTAATCCCAGCACTTTGGGAGGCCGAGGCGGGTGGATCACGAGGTCAGGAGATTGAGACCATCCTGGCAAAACATGGTGAAACCCCGTCTCTACTAAAAATGTAAAAAAAAAAATTAGCCGGGTGTGGTGGTGGGGGCCTGTAGTCCCAGCTTCTCGGGAGGCTGAGGCAGGAGAATGGTGTGAACCTGGGAGGCGGCGGAGCTTGCAGTGAGTGGAGATCGCGCCACTGCACTCCAGCCTGGGCGACAGAGCGAGACTCTGTCTCAAAAAAAAAAAAAAGAAAAAAAAAAAAAAAAAAAAAAAGATTGGGAGTGGAGGGTGGTAGCAGGTGGCTGGGCGAACTTGTTTCCTCCAACTTGTTACAAGGGGTTGGAGTAAAGAAAGTGCCTTGCAGAGTAGGCTGCTGCCTCCTGGTGGCCAGCCGCTGCCTTGCAGGGATCCTGCCAAGGGACTTCACTTGGCACTGTTGGAAGCAGCCTGAGGTGAAGCTGGGCAGGCTGATGTGATGGCCTGCAGCTCCAGTCACCAGCGGACTCTCCTTCCACAAAAGAGGTGCTGAAGCTCCTGAGGCACATGCTGAACTCTGATGTGGGGCTCTAGAGTTCCCCAGTCAGGCTAAAGGAAGTGAGCAGAGAGAACAAGATAAAGAATGGGCACCTCCTTATAATGGTTTCCTGGGAAAAGCTCACCACCTTCTGAGAAGCAGGAGAAATGACCACGCAGACCCCGCAGGCAGAGGCTGTCAGTCTCTGAGCCTGGGCCATGGCCGCTCGTTGTGTCAAAGGAAATGCTTCTAAGTGTGTAGCCCGCCTGCCTGGGGCACCTAAGCTGAGGGTTTGACCATGTGTTTGATGTTCATAGGTAAAACAACTGCTGCGACCTGCACTGGCCCAGCCCGGAGTGCCTGTGAGGGGCCAGCTGCCTGTTCTGCCAGTGTGCCTAGAGAGCTGGGACAGGCTTGGCCCTGTGGATAAAGTTCAATCTCCCCTGCCTGCAGAAGGAAGAATGTGAAGCACAGGGAAAGGAAGCTGGGATTCTGACTGCCTCTGTGTGCCCAGCCTGCTCTTTGCTGGTGCAGTAGTGGGGATCCACAAGGTGAACCACCCTGTGACTGCTGACTTTTCCCACCACCACCTTCGTGGTGTTCCCATCTGCTGGATCCCCTCCCAAACATCAGTCCTTGTCAGGATACCAAAGTAGCTCTTGGCCTCGCCGGTCTTGTAGCCAAGCTTAGAAGCATAGTTGTCACGTTCCCCACCTCCCACCAAAAGTCCGGGACTCTCACTAGGGGAGCGTTTTATCTTTGGGCCCCTAGAAGAGCGCTTTGTAGTTTGTAGGTCCTCAGAAATTTGAGGCGAAGATTGAACCAATCATCAAGGAGCTTACACTTGATGTGGGAATCACGTAAGTTATCGCTAAACCAGAAAAGTAGACCAGCCTCCCCCAGCTACAACCCGGGCACTGAGGGAGAAGCCTGGAAGAAGGGCATTCCCATGGAACGTGAACTCCAGGAGGGCGGAGCCTTGGTTTTGTTCACTCTATCCCCAGCCCCTAGAACTGTCCTGGCAAGGAGTGATAATAAGTGTTGCATGGATGAATGTACTCACGGAAGTGGGAATGGGTGGACGGAGGCAGGAAGCAGATATTTCCACTACGCAGAGATTGGATCCACCAGTTTCTTCCGCGAGCCCAGACTGGGCTTCAGCTTCCTCGGCTGTGTATGCCTTGCTTGGTTCCCAAGTCTGTTGTGAAGCCACAGTGAGAGAAAGTGGCAGGACTAAAGGTGGTACAAATGCCAGAGGCTGATACTGCTGTGCTGCACCTCCTTAGCCTGTACAAATTCTCCTCAGCCCCAGCTCCCTGGTCCCCAGCCTGGCCCTCTACTGCGGACCACTGGGTTGCCTCCCGTACCCAAGCCTGGGCCAGGCTGTCATTATGGTGCTCCTGGCAACCCAGATGCCGGGGGGGGGGGGGGGGGGTGTTGCTAAATCAACCTCAGCAACCGGATAGTTTGTCGGAGGCGGGAAGGTACGCCGTGGGTTCCGCCGCAGCTGGCACTGGGGCTAGGCGCACGCCCGTTGCCATGGAGATGGGGCGGGGCAGGCCTCCGCTCTCGGGTTCCCGCGCGCACGCGCCCACGGCCACGGCCACGTCCCGCCGCGAGAGGGGGCGGAGCGAGCGTGCGCGGCGGGCGCGCGCAGGCTCCGTAACCGAGCCCTGAGCCGCCTGCGCGGATCGGCGTCCGCAGCGGGCGGCTGCTGAGGTGAGGGCCGGGCCAGAGAAGAGGCACACCCGCTGGGGCGTAGGTCTGGGACCCCTGTCCGCCCTGGCGCGACCTCAGGACTCCCCGAGTCCCCTCCGTGACCCCCGCGGCCCGGGCCGCTCTTTGCATCGTCTTGCCCACAGATGGCCTCGGCCGGGTCCGAGGGCCTGGATGCGACGTTGGGGCAGCCCCTACTCTTACGGGCAGCCCACTGCGGCGGCCACCGGTGCAGGGCATGCCCCGGGGCCGTGGAGGTGGGGGAAAGAGGCGCGAGTCGCGTTTTAACTCCGCCCCTGTCCCCCAAGGCCGCGCCTCGCAGCCTGGGCTGCAAACTTTAGCGTCCCTTAAGTTACAGATGTGCGTGGGGCTCCGTGAGGAGGTGGGCGAAGAGAAAGGCTCTGAGTAAATAGGCGAGGCCCGGGATGAGCAGGGGCTGGAATCCGAAAGTGGGAGGCGGCGGTCCCCGACCCACCATAGTCCACCCGCTGCCTGCTAGCACCGAAGTTTAGCCTAGGACTGGGGCCGTTTAAGGGCCCGGCCCTCCGCCGCCTCGCACGTGAGCGGCACCAGGAAGCCGGCTGGGCGCAGCCTTCCCTGACGCTCGCCGGCACCGGCCGCACGCGTTCATGCCCGGCCTCCGAGCGGAGGGGAAACCGAGGCTAGAGGGAGGGCGCAGTCTGCCCAAGGTCGGCGGCAGCCGCCGTTTCTGAGCGCCAAGTGTGGTTGGAGCCCTCCAGGAAGAGGGGCGTGACCAGAGCTCCAGTGAAGAGCCCTGACCTTGTAAAGCTAGGTTTAGCTTCTGATTTCCCCCAAAGGGTTTGAGAATGGGACGACGGTGCTTTAGAGGCCCCGGTAGGCTTTCCCTGAGGAGGGTAGTCAGGGCACGATGGTCGGCTCAGTGGTTATTTCCTGGGCAGGGGTGGCTGTTCTTTCAGCTCCCAGCACTGGAGCGCTTGGCTCCTGCCGCACTGGATGCAAGCCGTTACTAAAAGTGAGCCTGGCATTTCAGGTGAACTCCCAGACCGTCTTCCTTTACTTTTGAATATAGGGGAAATTCATGTTACCCCTCCCCGTGCCGACCAAGCCTCTGAGACGCACAGGTGCATTCCCCCCCGCCCCCCTTTCTGAGCAGTTTGGGAAGTGAGAGGAAGAGAAAGGTAGATACTAAGTTTCCTTGAGGAGACAGGAAGTGTTCAGCTGAAATGGCAGATCAGGGTGAGAGTCTGTCATTCCCAAGGCAAGTGGGGGCCTAGATGCTGAGAGTTTTCCAGCTTTGGGCTCAGAGATGTCCAACAAGGATTTAATGCTTGAGCCTTTCTGGAAGCCAGTCACCAGAGAAGAGAAAGTGGAAATGGGGGCCTGGAGTCAGAGTGTCTGGGCTTGTGTTGCCTGCATTTTGGTCCACGTGGCTCTGTTTAATACCTGTGTTACCTTAGGCAAGTCTCTTAACCTCTAACCACTTGTACCTTTAGCCTTACCTACCTCTTTTGATTGCTTTAAGGTAATGAAGTAGCTGTGTTTCAACATTTAGACAGTGCCTGGCATATAGTAAGTGTTCTGTGGAAGATTTCTCATCATTATCAAAGAAAATTGGAATGAAAGTAACTGGAGATGAGATGAGTAGGACAGGCAGAAAAGAGAGAGATACTGATGGGTAGAAGCACAGATGGGTGAGACTAGTGGGCAACACCTCAATTTCCTGACACCAAAAGTTTAGAAATTTACTTTGCCTCTTTGTGAGCAAATACTGTGTGCTCATTGACTCCAAAGACGGTTTTTTGTTTTTTTTGTTTTTTTTGTTTTTTGGTTTTTTTTTTTTGGCATAAAATCAACACCCAGCACCCACAGGGAAGAAATAATTACACAGAGCTAAGTTTTCCACAAAGCTGCAGTGTGGCGTTTTCAGCTTCAAAACTTTTTAAATGTTAAATATTACTTTTAAATAATTGAGGTGGGAATGTCCCCCCAGTGGGTCACATGGCTCCCTTCCTCTTTAAACAGTCTTCTC